GAAGGATGGGTCCTGTTTTTGTATCTATTCTGTTAGCGTGTATCTTTTATAGGTGAGTTGTGTCCATTGATACTAGGAAATATTAAGATCAGTGATTTGTAATTCCTGTTTTTTATGGTTTTGTTGGTGGTGATGGTAGTGTGGTTGTGTTTCTCTTCTTTGGGGTTCTTCTGGTGTGATATTATCTTTTGCTTGTGATTTCATTGGTGTAACCAACTTATTTTGGTTGGAGTTTTCCATGTAATACTTTATGTTCAGCCATATTTATGATCAGGTATTGTTTAAATCTGGTATTTTTGTAGAATATTTTGTTTTCTTTGCCTCTGCTGATTAAAAGACACACTGGGTATAGTAGTCTCGGATAGCACAAACATCTGTCTTGGACTTCGTTGACTTCAGAAACTCCATTAAGAAGTAGGACAGGTCTATCTTAATGTTCCCTGACCTTCTTTTGCAGCTCTTAATATACTTTTGTTATTTTGTATTTTTGTTTTGATTATTATATATTGAGGGTATTGTCTTTTGCCTATTTAGTATTATGTAAGCTTCTTGTTCCTACATTAGCATGTCCTTTTTTATCTTAACAAAGTTTTATGCTATGATTCTGTTGAACAAAGTTTTTGTGTCTTTGAGCTAGAGGTCCTCTGCTTCTTATCCCTTATTTTTCTTAGGTTTGATCTTTTCAAGAATTCCCAGATTCCCTAGATTTTTGTTAAAAATTTGTTGGAATTGACATTTTCTTTGACTGATAAAACTATTTCCTCTATAATATCTTCAATATCTGATATTCTCACTTCTATATTTTATATTCTGTTGGTTGTGCTTGCATACGTGGTTCCTGTTCTTTTATTTGCTCTTAAATATTATAAAGATTTGTCACACATAGTGGTTTAATCAAGTGCTGATTGGCCAGTAGCCAGGCACCAAGTATAGGCTAGGTGACCAGACTTGGATAATTCTGAGAAGAGGAAAGGCAGAGAGTCAGTCACCAGCCAAATGCGAAGGAAGCGAAATTAGAATGCCTTACTGAGAAAGGTACCAAGGCATGTGACTAGACATAGATAAGATTTATGTGTTAATTTAAGTTGTATGATCTAGTTAGTAATAAGACAGAGCTAATAGGCCAAATAGTTTATAATTAATATAAGCCTCTGTGTGTTTCTTTGGAACTGAACTGTTGTGAGACCAGGCAGGACAGAATTTTCCATCTACAAATGGCTCCCAATGTTCATCAATTACATTCACATAAATCCCAAGAGAACTTGGAAAGGCATACTAGACACAAAAATACTGAGTTTAGCACACCTTATTGATAGCAGCATATTACCAGGCGGGTTTAGTTTGGTAGAGTCATGCAGAGATGTGGCTCCTTTAAGAGAGGCTTCCTGACTCAGTGTTCTTTTAAGAGGCCCTGTTACTAAGCAATTAAATTGTGTTTATGAACTACTGGCAGAATGCTTCTTGGTGGTGTCATGGACCTAGAAAACCTCAGAGTTGTGACAATAAATAAAGCAGGTAGCTCCTGCTAGTACCATTGCTGTGAATATAGACTCTCAGGATGTCAAAAACAGGGCAGATTCAGCTGGCAAAACTGCCGTTTTCATTTTAGCCTTGCTGTTTAGCAGACTAAAGACTTGTGGTCAAAAAATAGTTAGAGATATACAATAAAGACCGATTGATAAAATAAAAACCTCTAAACAGTTAACAGTGTGTTTAGAAATATACATAGCCTTGGGAGATTAATAAAAATGGGTACAGAAATGCCTTAAAAAAGACATAGATTAAGGAAGAAAGACGCATAAAGATGGAAAATGGCCAGAGTATGGATACTGAATTTTATTGCATGTTATTTGAATTATTCGATGGCTGAAGAGGGAGCAACAGCTGCTAAAAGATGTTTAATTATAAATACTGCTGGATTAAACCAATCTATTTATTTTAAAAATAACTTGACTTCAAAATTTAAGCCAAAAGATATGTTACTTTGGAAAAGAGGTTTTATATTTGTAGGAAATGAGAGGCTCTGTATTTATTCTGGATTAAGAAACATCAGGTTTGATCTAGGAAGACCTGCTGAATAATCTCCAATAGGAGCACATGGCCAAGATAACTCAACATCTAAATTTCCTCCAAGTTCTACATCCAGAACAGCTTCAAGGTTCCTAGTTGAGGTGATCCTCACAGAATACTGCAGTCATAATTTGACAATAATCTTACATTTTCCCAGGGTTCTCCAAAGATTTCTAGCATCCCCAATCAGCAGGAAGTAGTCAAGAAAACTATGCACACATTCCAAAGTAGATTATGTGTGTTTGTCTTTGTTTAGCTTATTGGTTATATGTTGCTATGGATAATGATCAGGAGAAAAAATAAACAAATGAGATTAGATTCAGAATTCTTGTTTTCTAAAGAAAGAAAGGGGAAATGCTTTGGGATATTCCTCACATATACTAATGATTTGTCATTCTTACTGGTTTGATAAAGCACTAAAAGGCCAGTAGTCAGGCAGGAACAACAAGACTAGAAGAATTCTGAGAAGATGAAAGACAGTCAGTCAATAACAAGATATAATGGAAGCAAACTGAAAATGCCTTACTGAGAAAAGGTACCAAGCCATGTGGCTAAATATAGATATGAATTATGGGTTAATTTAAGTTGTAATAGCTAAAAAATAACAAGCCTGATCTTATAGGGCAAACGGTTTATAAATAATATAAACCTCTGTGGTTCTTTGGAACCACAGAACCAGGCAAAACAGAAAGTTGCTTCTACATTTGTGGTCTCTTAGTGTATGAAAAACATCTCTACATGACTTCTTGGACTTCGGAGTCTCCATTTAGAAGCCAGGCATAATTCTGATAGTCTGCCTTTTTATTTTCAGCTCTTAATATTCTTGCTTTATTCTTTATTTCATATGTGTAGTGTTTCAATTAATATGTGTTGAGGGTATTTGTTTTGGTTCAGAGTATTTGGTGTTATGCAATACTATGTTCCTTCACAGATATGACTTTTTAGGTTGGGAATATTTTCCTTGATGGTTTTGTTGAATATATTTTCTGTGACTTTGAACTAGATAGAGGTCTGCTTTTCCTATTGTTTTTATTTTTAGGTTTGGTCTTTTCATAGTCTTCTAGATATTCTGGGTGTTTTGTATTAAGAATTTGTAAGATTTGATGTTTTCTTACTGATAAATCTATCTCTTGTATTCTGTTGGTTAAGTTTGCACCTGTGGTTCCTGACCTTTTACCCCAATTTTCCATTTCCAGAATTCATTCAGTTTGTGTTTCCATTATTGCTCCTATTTTAATTATGGAGTGTTGAACTGTTTCTTTCACCCTTTTGGATTGTTTTTTCTTGGTTTTCCTGACTTTCTTTAAGGGATTATTAATTTCTTCCATTTTTGTTTGTTTCTGCCATTTCTATAAAGGAATTTTTCATTTTCTTTTAAAGTGTCTCTGTCATCTTTATAACGTACCCAGATTGTTAATTGTAGATACCTATGTTGAGTCTTCCTACAATGGGTAAAATGAAGGTTGTGCCTCTGGGTATCCTCTGATACCACTGGTGCTGGTGCTGAGGTTGACTGTCTATAGTAGGCTTGCCTGCTGACAGGCTGTTGGGGCTCTTTCTCCAATTGGTGTAGGCAGGGAATGTTCCTCCACTGTCCTCTGATATGACTGAGGATAGGGGTGGAATAACCTCATCCTTTAATTGGTGCAGTTTGTGTTTGTGACTCTCCAAGGTGCTCTGATTTTATTTTTCCTCCATTCAGTGTAAGTGGGGGGGGGGGGTTATGATTCCATGGCCTTGTGATGCAGCTTCAGATAGTGGTACAGTGACTTGGCCACAGGAGATTTTTCTGTTGATGAGCTACTATTTTAAGTTGGGTGAGGGAGGGTCAGAGGAAGTCCGCATGACTTAGGCACTAAAGAGCTAGGCTGTCCAGGCAGGAGAGTAAGTCTGTCCAGCCAGAACAACAGCCACTTCCCTCTTCCTCCCATCAGTGCAGATGTTGGCTGTGTTTCTCGGGCTCTCTGATGTAGCTGTAGGTGGTGGAGGAGTGGCCTGGACTCAGGAGATTTGCCTGCTGACTCACTACTTATGATTGTATATCAGAAGTCAATCACTTAACCCTGTGCAATATGCAAAGCTGAAAATGCAGAGAACCAAAAACATTCTCTAATGTAGAACTTTAAGACAATTCAGTCCCTGGGAAGAGGCAAAGTGACCCTCAGAAGTTTCCCTTTACCTCATCTGATCTGGCAACCACGCTCAAGCCAATTATTGGTAATAGCCTTTTTGAATAAGCCAATTATAATAGTTAAAGAACAACCCCTAGACACCCCTTCCTTCTGTGTTTTTTCCCTTTAAAAATAGCCTGTACCAGACATTCAGGGTCTTCTAGCCTCCTGACTGCTGGAAGACCCTTTCATGACAGAATTAATAAAACCCTCATGCTTTTAAATCAGCTGTGATGAGAGATGGTTTCTTGGGGCGACTCCTCACCCTCGGTGACTGGACACTAGGGTCCAACACTAAGTTGTAACATTGTGCTCCCTGTTTGTAAAGAAACCAACCAAACAATCAGTGTAACACACTAACTCAAAAACCCAGTGAATAATTCTATCACTTAAAAAGTCATTCATATTAAAATAGATTGGGAAGATAAAGTGGGATTTTATAATTATAAAAAAGTTTTCAAGATAGTTCTGGAAAGATGGCTTAGGGGGTAAAATATTTGTCCTGAAGTTGTAAGGGCCTGATTCAAAATCCCTATTACCAACATTGATGCTATTTTGTGATCTGCCTGGAATTTCAGCACGTGGGATTACTTGGAAAAAGAAGAATAGCTAAACTAGTTTAAAAGGTGTGTCTTGTTTAACTGAAACCAACAGGGTGGGGAAATCTAAGAATAGGTGTGACCAGAGGATTAGAGATAAGAGCAAGGTCAACAGTCAAGAACAGTCTTGTGCAGAGCTGACTCAAAGGGGTGATGCTTACAGGACACTTCAGATGCAAGATCCAAGTACAGGAAACCACAGTTCTCTCTGCTCTATTTATCAGCCTTCCTCAAGCACCAATTTCATTGCGATCTCCAGGCTACAGAAGTCTTTCATGGAGCTGGCTGACTAAGTGGATACTGCACCACAGACCAGCTTGCCACCTCCCATATGAAAAATGGAAAATAGGTAAGAGGTTTTTTGAAACCTTTCTCCCAAAGATTTTATCTCTTTTTCTTAGTCTGTGACCATTTAACTACACCTTGAGGTGGAGAATCCAAAAAGCCTAGGTGTTTCTTAAGAATCAGAGTTACAAATGCTACTCTTTAGCATCGTGCGTTAGCAGACATGACTTCAGGAGATTGGACTCCTATGAGTTAAGGAAGTGCCCACTTCTTTAATTTCTCCCCATTCTTCTCTCATCCCAACTATGCAAATATTCTGTTATTGTGAGAATTATGCCACATTCCTCCTGGCAAGCCATATACTTACAGGCACCCTCTATATAAGCCAAGTTCTCTCAGGAACTCAGCCACCTGTGTTTCTGGAAATAGGAAATTTCATTTTTTTGTGTGGAAATGCAGCTCTGAAGAAAACAGATGGTCTAAAACTGAGTTACTTAAAAGAACATAATTAAGTATAGTTTATCGATAATTTACACATTTATGGAAAATTAAACATGATGTTAAACCCAACTCCAACCCAAGAACACATGGAGTATGTAGATGTACCAAGAGTAATAATCATCTGAACCAAGTGTTGGGTTCTACTGTGGATGCAGGTGTAGTTGTGCTAATTCAGATATATAACTAATTTACTAATGTTTTATATGATAATTTGAATTCTGTGTACAATGTACTCTTACTACCCTCCCCTCCCCTCTCTTCTTTTTTAACTTCCTTCTTTTTCCCTACTAGACCCTTTCCCATATTGATCACTTTTGGTCATGTCTATAATACAGCAAAAGACAAGAGATATGTACTTAATGTTTCATACCTGGAAGGGTGAGCAGTTTGATTGGAAACTGATTGCTCTCAGGACATTAAATACAATGTTCCGTGGTCTAGTTTTAGATATTTTCACATAAGTGTGCTATTTCTATGACAGATTTAGTTTTTCAAGTAAAATAGCACATGCCCATTCAGCTCTGACCATCAGCATTCTTCATATGCCATCTGCCCTTGACACTTGTCACTACAGTTTGTTGTGTATGGGTTCACTTCTTATCCTGTTCATTTGGAACTCTTCCTCTGTTTGAATGTCTGTAACCTTCCAGACGTCAAGTAAAACCATCATTCTAGTTCACAGAATTAGTTTTCTGTGCTTTAGTCTGTTTCTCAGACCTATGCTTTGCATGAAGAATTCATATGTTTGGTCTATAAAGTGAGTCTCACATTCCTCATAGTTTTCTTTTTTGTGCTTTACAATTTCCCACATTCTGGGCATTTCTGGACTCACTATGTATCTCAGACTGTCCTAAAAGTCATAGAATTCTTTTCTTTTGTTCCTAGAATACTGGTATTCCACAAATAAGGTAACATGGTTGGTAGAAAAGTTTCTATTACCCTCCATGTAAAGACCATCTTTGGTCCCAAGCCGTGTAGAAGAACCTATGTGTCACAATACCCTCTACTTAGCACAGTTTCCACTTCTTTCTTTCTCTCCTTTCCCACATATTATAATTTTAACTCATGAAAAATGGTAGAAATTCAGTTCATTTCATAATTCTATGCCTAATTCTTACAGGCCAGACGTTCTCAGCCTTCCTAACGATACTACACTTTAATACAGTTCCTCATGTTGGAGTGACCCTCCAAACATGACATTGTTGGGGTTCCTACTTTATAGCTGTAAGTTTTCTACTATTATTAACTGTAATTTAAACATATGATTTGAAGAATCTATTTTCCAATTTATTTTTTGAAAAGCTATCTTTTCTCATTTTACACGCCAAACCCATTTCCCCCTTCCACTCCTCCTCCTCCTGCTATCTCCACCTTCTCCCAGCCCCATTCACCCCTTAGAGAGAAGAAGGCTTAACATTGGGGAGTGAACAATATCTGGGACATTTTTTTGAAGCAGGAACAAAGCCTTCCCCATTATATCTAGGCTGAGCAAGGTATCCCTCTAGAGAGAATCAGTTACAAAAAGTCAGAACAAGAATCAGGAATAAATCCTGGTCTCACTTACAGTGGTCCAACAGTGGGTCACATCCATACCAGTGCCATGCTCATTCAGAAGGCCTAGTTTGGTCCTGTGCTGTTTCACTTATTGTGAGGCCAGAGCTGGAATGCATTCATTAGCTCAGGTGAGCTGTCTGAGTGGGTATTCCTGTCAGGATCTTGACCTCTTTGTTCATATTCTCACTTGAACAATTTTTTTTGACTGGACTTTGGGAGCTCAGCCCAATGATCCACTGTGGTTCTCTGCATTTGCTTCCATCACTTGCTAGATGTAGGTTCTATGATGACATGAAGATAGTTAATCTGACTACAGGGTACAGATAGTTCAGGCACCCTCTCTATTATCGTTTAATATCTTAGCTGGGGTCATCCTTGTGGATTTCTGGGAATTTCTCTATTGCTAGGTTTTTTCCTAGCCTCATAATGGTTCCCTCAATTAAGATGTCTCTTTTCCTGTTACCATCACTTTTCCTTTTTCCATGTTGACAATCCTCTTTCCTCTAGATCTCTATTTCTCCTTTCCTCTTTCACTTCTATCTTCCTTTCTTTCCTACCCCCACACTCTCATTTTCTCAACAGATATTATTTATTTCCCCTTCCAAGGACAGATCTATGTATGTTTCTCTTAGGGTTATCCTTGTTTCTTAGGTTTCTGGGGTGGTGGCCTGCAGGCTACTTCTCCTTTGCTTTGTAGACCATATATTCCTGAGAGTGGGTACATACCATACTCATCTTTCTGGGTCTGGCTTACGTCACTCAGGATAGTTTCTTATAGTTCCAAACATTTGAAATGCAAATTTCAAGATGCCACTGTTTTTTATCACTGAGTAGTACTCCATCATGTAAATGTACAATATTTTCTTTATTCATTCTTTGGTTGACGGACACCTAGGTTGTTTCCAGGTCTAGCTATTACAAATAATGCTACTATAAACATAGTTGAACCAGTGTGCTTATAATATTATTGATCATCCTTTGGTATATCCCCAAGAGTAGTATTTCTCAGTCTTGCAGTATGTTGATTTACAATTTTTTAAGAAAACTCTATATTGATTTTCAAAGTGGTTGTACAAGTTTGTATTCTTACCAGCAATGGAAATGAGTTCCACTTACTCCACATTCTTTCCAGCATCAGAAATTATTTTTGCTTTTGATCTTAGCCATAGTGACAGGGGCAAGATGGTATCTCAGATTTGTTTTGCTTTGCATTTCCCTGATGGCTAAGATGTTGAACATATTCTTAAGGGTCTTTCAGCCATTTTCAGTTCTTCTGTTGAAAAGAACTGATCTCAGCGCCAGTTGAAGACAGCCACAGTTGGGCATTTGTCAGAGTGTGCCTTGCCCATAATAAGGCATAGATTATGCCGTTCTATAATGGACCTCAGTGCCTTCTACCATTGACCACACACACACGCATAGATCAATCATTGTTCCAGGACTCCCCATTGGGATGACAAGATTTCTCAGTCCATGCTTCCTCCTCTTTCTTTGACAGGCATTTTGTTCATTAAATCTTTTGTTCCCTGGGGAAAAAAAAAAAGAAAAAAGAAAAGAACTGTTCTCTGTGTCCCAGAAGGGCTGTTGACTGCTATTGATAAATCCCTTCATCAGCAGATGGGTCAAAGAAATGTAGCAACAATCTGCATTTCATTGGTCACTCAACATGATAGTGACCATATGAAATCCATTTATATTTTACAAAATTTCATATTTTAAAATTTTTTTATTGAGAAAAAGAGAAAAAAAAGTTTCCGCCTCCTCCCAGCCTCCCATTTTCCTCCCCCCCCCCCCACCTTTCTCCCCCCTCTCCCCACTGTTCTCCCCCTCCCTCTCCTATCCAAAGAGCAGTCAGGGTTCCCTGCTCTGTGGAAAGTCTAAGGTCCTCCCCCCTCCGTCCATGTCTAGGAAGGTGAACATCCGAACTGGCTAGGCTCCCACAAGCCAGAACATGAAGTAGGATCAAAACCCCATGCCATTGCCCTTGGCTTCTCATCAGCCGTCATTGTTCGCCAGGTTCAGAGAGTCCGGATTAAGACATGCTTTTTTCAGTCACAGTCCAGCTGGCTTTGGTGAGCTCCCAATAGATCAGCCCCACTGTCTCCATGCACCCCTTGTGGTCCTGACATCCTTGCTCGTGTTCTCCCTCCTTCTGCTCCTCATTGGGACCTTGGGAGCTTGTTCCGGTCCTCCAGTGTGGGTCTCTGTCTCTATCTCCATCCATCTCCAGATGAAGGTTCTATGGTGATATGCAAGATATTCGTCAGTATTGATATAGGATAGGGTCATTTCAGTTTCCCTATCCTCAGCTGCCCAAAGAACTAACCAGGGACATCGCCTTGGGCTCCTGAGAGCCACTCTAGGTTCAGGTCTCTTGCCAACACTAAGGTGGCTCCCTTAACTATAAGATTTGTGCTTCCCTGCTCCCCTATCCAACCTTCCTTTATCCCAATCATCCTGTTTCCCCAAGTTCCCCACATCCTCCCCTTCTCACTTTTCTCTCCCCATCTCCCCTTACCCCCATCCCACCCCACCCCCAAGATCCCAATTTTTTCCCAGGCAATTTTGCCTATTTCCCATAGCCAGGAGGATAACTATATGTTTTTCTTTGGGTTCACCTTCTTATTTAGCTTCTTTAGGATCACCAATTATAGATTCCGTGACCTTTATTTATGGCTAGAAACCAATTATGAGTGAATACATCCCATGTTCATCTTTTTGGGTCTGGGTTACCTCACTCAGGATAGTGTTTTCTATTTCCATCCATTTGCATGCAAAATTTGAGAAGTCATTGTTTTTTAC